GTATGTGGCACATGATGTGAAGACTCCTTGACGTCTTTATGTGTGTGTTATGATTCTGTTGGCCAGGTTCTCATCATTGACTGTTTTCCCAAAGTACTCCTCCTTCTGTGTGTCATTGAACCCTCCTACCTCCGTCCGCTGACTGATATGCTCTCAAGGGATTTGATCGACTGCTGCAGGTTGGGAGGTTATCCAGAGGAGAGCAGAGGGGAGGAGCTCTCCTGTAATGAAGCTTGTGATCAGCACATCCATGGAGGCTGGCTCTGTCTCATCCGCCAACACCTTGTTATTATCAAAGTCCAGAGGCAGTCAACTCACATCCAGACGGTCAAAGATTAACAAAACTTTAGACTGTCCCCCAAGAGTCGTAACGTCTTTCATGTTAGGGAAGAATTGATGAAGCAGTTCAATCAGACTGCAGTCCTAATATTAGGATTGGTCTTACGAAAAGGAAGTGGAAACATGAAATCAATGTTCTTGTTCTCCTTTCCTTCTGCCCAGTCGCACACAGACAGTTTTTCCCACGCCAGCAATGCCAATTGTAAGCACTGATTTGATTTGCTTCTCTTGAACAAGCCGAGGTTTGAAAATGTTGGTTGTGTTAATGGATTTCTGCTGAATCTGGTGTTCTGGCTTCCAGATGTCTGACCTCATGCTCATCAATGACCCCTCCCCAGTCCGCCTCGATCACATGGAGCTCAGTGTAGATCTTGTTTAGAAAGGCAGAGCTTGCCAGAAAGGCATTTCAGTGTACTGTACTTGTGCATGTGACATAAAAACTTGAAACTTAAACCGATCAGTAGCCTTGTGTGGGTACAATCACTGGGGAAGCCAAGCCAGAAAAAAATGCCATATTAAAACCTATGTGTTATGATAATTACGTTGTTTGCTCTATAACCTGTTAGTTCATATGCCTTGCCACCGTGATATATAGGCCTAAGGCCGAGACAATAAGAAGACACAGTGGCAGAATAAATTACACCACACCTTTGTTTCATCACAAAACCAGAGAGCAACATCTGTCCACAAAGCATATTGCATGTAACAAACAGTTACATGACCTACAGTATGGTCAAGCAAGTTAATGTTTCCAACGTTTTCAGACTACTAAACTATTGATGTAGAACCATGGAGAGTTACCGCAAGTCGCAAAGAAAACAGGAGCTGCCTCCAGCACCATTTCAACTTCAACCTTTCAACATCATCGAATCACATACGCTTAGTCTAATACAGTGACAACTAAAAGATACCAAAAACAATTGAGTCCCATCAACGTGAGCTAAATATGATGTGGCTGTCCATGGTTCTGGGTTCTCTGCGTGTATGTGTGTGTGTGCGCACATTCGTGCATTTGTGCAAGTAGAAAAACATTTTGACTCACCCTACTTGTAGAGAAATGCCAATGCCATCCTCTCTTTCATGTTGACGAAAACAGTCTATGACTCTGTTATACAGTACACGCTTTTAGTTTTTGTTGTCCTAGGCTACCTGGCTAAAATGCTTGCTCGCTAGCCTAACTTCCTTTCATAGGCAACGATGAGCCAACAAGTTAACATTAGCCTACTACACTGAACAAAAATATATATGTAAAGTGTTGGTCCCATGTTTCATGAGCTGAAATAAAAGATCCCAGAAATGTTCCAATACGCACAAAGAAATGATTTCTCAAAAATGTTTACATCCATGTTAGTGAGCATTTCTCCTTTGCCAAGATAATCCATCCACCTTACATGTGTGGCATATCAAGAAGCTGATTAAACAGCATGATCATTACACAGGTCCACCTTGTGCTGGGGACAATAAACAGAGTGCCCCTTGGTGGCGGTGGGGTTATGGTATGGGCAGCTACGGACAACGAACACAATTGCATTTTATCAATGACAATTTGAATGCACAGAGATACCATGACAAGATCCTGAGGCCCATTGTCGTGCCATTCATCCGCCGCCATAACATCATGTTTTAGCATGATAATGCACGGCACCATGTCGCAAGGATCTGTACACAATTCATGGAAGCTGAAAATGTCCCAGTTCTTCTTAGGCCTGCATACTCACCAGACATGTCACCCATTGAGCATGTTTGGGATGCTCTGGATTGAAGTGTACGACAGCGTGTTCCAGTTCCCGCCAATATACAGCAACTTCACACAGCCATTGAAGAGGAGTGGGACAACATTCCACCGGCAACAATCTACAGCCTGTAGTGTGTTTATTTGGAGTCACTTTTATTGTAAATAACAATAGAATATGTTTCTAAACACTTCTACATGAATGTGAATGCTATCATCATTACGGATAATCATGAACGAATTGTGAATAATGATGAATGAGAAAGTTACAGAAGCACAAATATCATACCCCAGTTATTGTGATGGTGAGAGGTAGTATGTCTTGGGGGTATGATATTTGTGCATGTAACTTTCCCACTCATCATTGGTCACGATTCATTCAGGATTATCTATAATCATGGTAGCATCCACATTAATGTAGAAGTGTTTAGAAACGTATTCTATTCTTATTTACAATAAAAGTGACTCCAAAATGACAATATATTATTTACCATTCATTATTGTTGGGCACAAAATAATCTGAAACATAACCAAAACAAACAGCAAATGCATCCAATCAATTTGTAGAGTTACAAGCTTGATGTAGTCATTGCGTGCTATGAATATGGGACCAAATACTTAACTTTTTACTACTTTAATACACATACCGATATGGATGAAAATACTCCAAAATTAAAGCTGACTGTCTGCACTTTAACCTCATAGTATCATTTAAAATAAACAAGGCAGCTAGGTGCATTGTCCAGCAACATACATCACTTTTCCATGAAATAAATGTTGAATTTTCATTGGAAAGGCAGATAATGCTTTTTTTATCAAAAGCAATCACTTTTGCATGTGAAAACAGAATCCTACTCATCACTCAGGCTCAGGGTCAGGGCAGGCAGAAAGATAAAAACCGGGAAAACAAGAAAACAGGAGTTTGAAAAACACGCTGGTAGGCTTGACAAGACGAACTGGCAACAGACAAACAGAGAACACCGGTATAAATGCACAGGGGATAATGGGGAAGATGGGCGACACCTGGAGGGGGGTGGAGACAAGCACAAAGACAGGTGAAACAGATCAGTGTGTGACAGCAGCTAAACGACACCCTGGACCAGAGCTAGCATACTATCTACTTTGCAGTTGAAATGCATATCTTTCCGAAATAGCTACTATTTAGAAAATCTTTGCTGTTGTGTGCCTGAGTGCGAGAACAGTATCACAACAGTTTGATGATCATAACGGATTAACACGGCTAACAATGGGTGGTTCCCGATACACATAGGCCTATACTGATCTTCTAACCTGCACAGGCCTGCACCAGTGGCAGTCGGTGCCGTTTAAGATGAGGGAGGACGATAATTTATTTTATGAGCATGGCCTTATTTCTATTACAGCATATTGGATGACTGTCATTCATATTCCATGAATGACAGTTCACCCAGCTCAATTCACCCAGCTCAATGTAACATCGATAGATTTAGGGTACTACATGATACTCAAATTTCCCTATACCCATCATGAGGTTGCTACAACCTATCCTATGAATGAAAGTTTACAAAGTTGGTGCAAGTCGAGATAATTTTTTGTAATCAAGGCCTGCATCTAGCTAATCTAGGGTGTAATCATTAGTCCAACATTTGCAAATGAGAGTTTCTATTAGACAAATTCAGGTATGGTTATCCACGTTTCGTTCCATTTGCTTCCGTATAAGAAACGTTTTTCAACTGAATCGGCAGAATGAATACACCTCTGAATACACCTTTCCCGAATGAATACACCTTTCCAAGCCAAACCTTCATATCATAACCGCTAACCGCTACACACAGCCTACATCATTGTCCCCATGTTATCTAACGTCATAGTCAACATAGCTAATAGAACTAACGCATTAGCAAACCCGCTACAATCATGCAGTACAGTGTACAGTCAGAAAGGACTCTGTACTCTGTACGCTTACCTTGACTTGGAATAGTTCCTGTGTTGGATAGCTATAGCCAGCTATCTAACATAGCATGCCTCTCTGTTTGAGCCGGGTGTTTGAGTAGGCTACTAGCTAGCTAGCTGTGAAAGTGAAAAAAATACTACGAAATATAACTAGCTCGCTCTCTTTCCCTCTCTCTCTTGCTTCTCTTTCATTTGTGAAGAAATGTATTTGTTCAAAACTGTTCAACTATTGTCTTTCTCTCTTTGAGTCAACTACTCACCACATTTTATGCACTGCAGTTATAGCTAACTGTAGCTTATACTTTCAGTACTAGATTCATTCTCTGATCCTTTGATTGGATGGACACAATGTCAGTTCATGCTGCAAAAGCTCTGATAGGTTGGAGGACATCCTCCGGAAATTGTCATAATTACTGTGTAAGTCTATGGAAGGGGGTGAGAACCATGAGCCTCCTAGGTTTTGTATTGAAGTCAATGTACCCAGAGGAGGAATTAAGCTAGCTGTTCTCTGGCTACACTATGGTGCTACCATACAGAGTGCTGTTGAGGTTACTGTAGACCTTCATTGCAAAACAGTGTGTTTTAATAAATTATTTGGTGACGTGAATATATTTAGTATAGTTTTATCTAAAAATGAAAGCTTTTTAATGTTTCACTATTTTCAAAAATAAAATTCATTGAGGAGGATTGGCCTTCCCTTCCTCCTCTGAGGGAGCCTCCACTGGCCTGCACATATCCGTGTATCTGGCATGCACCACACCCAATGTTCTCTGCTGACAACACACCTGGGTCGTATTCACTAGGAACCAAACAGAAGCAAACTGGTCGAAATGGGGAGGGACCTACCTGAATTTGTCCAATAAGAAACGGTTGTTTTCGGTTTTCAGTTTGCTACAGTGTGCAGTGCACTAATTAATATGACACTGCCTACCTGTCTACCTGTGCAGTCTGAAGGGTGTGCCTCTGGCCTATAATGATGTCTGTGTGCTGGGGCAGCATGGAGACATCTACGACGATAACGGATACATTCACCTCGACGTATAGGCCAACTTTGTCATCTTCCAACCCGAGAGGACAGAAACTACTGGTGAGAGCTATGTAACTGTGTGTGTGTGACATCAAATCGACACAGAACAGATGTGACTCTTACAGAAGACTGCAGTGTGGATGTGTTGTAGTTAGTTGCAATGATAACATAGTGTATATGGAAAGGGTCAGAAACACTGCTTTGAAAGGTCTAGTTGAAGTTAACTCTCTCCTCTCACACCCCTCCTCCCCTCTCCCTACCCCTCTCTCCCCCTCCCTTCCTCTCCAGGGTAGAGTCAATAAGCTTGGTGTGAGTCACGTGGGCTATCCGGTCCACGGCTGTTTTAACGCCAGCATTCTGAAGCCGGCCCACTTCACCATGGAGACCTGGAGGGAGGCGGGGCCCAGGATAGGAGCGGAGCTGGAGTTTGAGGTATGTCAGCTGGACGCAGACACTGTCGGAGTACTGCTGATCAGAGGACGAATGGGCAGGAAACAGTAGGTTAGAGAGTGTGTGTCTGAGATGGACTATATTGCAGTTGGACTGGACTGAGCAGAATAAATAATCTACAAATCGCCTTGTATCCCAAATAAATACTCAAGTCTGTGCCTTGCTGTGTGTGTGTGTGTGTGTGTGTGTGTGTGTGTGTGTGCCTGCACTTGTGGTGTGTGTGTGTTGTGTTTTCTTTCTCTCAGAGTTCAGAAGCTGATGGCAGCAGGAGAGAGTTCTGATCCCAACGACCCTGCAGAACAGCTGGAGGAACCAGACACAGAACCTGCTCTAGAACCTGATCTAGAACCCAGCCACCGTGAAACTCAAGAAGAAGAAAAAGGACAAACACAGAGGAAGAGACTGCAGTACCGCCACCCGGCCAGCAGGGAGGCACTGTGTTTGGAACAGCAGAGGACAGTGGCACTAACGGCCACATGGAGGAGGAGAAAAGGAAGAAAAAGAATGACAGAAAGAGGAGGAGAGGGCGGTGAAGTGGAGGTCTCCCGTGGAGGTGCAGGGGAGCAACCTTAGTGACAAGCCAAACAGGAAGAGAAAACAGGGAGACGAAATTGCGTACTGTCTCCATGGCGATCCTGAAATGCCCAAAACCAAGAAGAAGAAAATTGATTATGTGACTGTGACACTGCGACTAACTGTGAAACTGAATGAACATTATAAGATGGTGATGATGACCGTGATGATGACTATAATGAAATGCCTTAAGTAGACCTGGTGACTTTGTTTGTTTAGCTAATCACAGCCCCAGTCCTCCCATATTGTTGGCGTGATCCGTCTCACAGCTGTTTGTATAGTTTCCTATAGAAACCTAATTTCTATCAGCCTCTAGTGTGGCTCATATAGAGAACTACAGCTTTACCCTTCTAGCTATAACTAGAGCACATCAACATGCTGTAGGGTTGTTCAACAAGTCTTAACCAGTGTCTTAAACTAGTCAGTCTTCAATCTGAAATGGCAGCCAATTCCCTATGCAGTGCACTAGTTTTGACCAGGGCTACTCTATAGGGCCTGGTCCTTGCAAAAAGTAGTGCACTATGTAGGATGCCATTTTGGACAGGTTGTTGTGTTGTTTTCCTCAAGGTCTCAGAGAGAGGGAAACATGTTGCTAGTGTCCAGCTCTTATACGTTTGTATAGGTGCCACATTGAAGGCTTCAGTAAAGCAGAGAAAAGTGTTTATATTAGTTAAATAATTATATATTTGGAAGTGACTGTGTTGTGTGCCTTTCATAAGTTTGTGTGGTAGAGGATAGCAGTTGGTGATGTAGGTCATTGAGTGATGTACTGTATGTCCTCAAAGACACCTCCCCAAGTCACCTGAGTGGGTGTGTTGTTACCTATTGTACAGTTTGTCATGTTGTTTACCAGAAAGTTATTATCATACAATCTGGGCGGTTTATACAGGGAGGGGGAGTGCAGAGTAATTTCAAATATGTTGAGCCACATCCCTCCCCTCACTTCATCTGAGGAACAGAATGGAAAACAGAGCTGAACACACAGGTGAGAAATAGATAGCTCGGCCTACTGTTAGGTGCGAGTGTCTAATATAATATGATCGATGATATCATTTTTGTTAGGATGGAATAAGACCTAGGACCTACAGTAGGGTTTGTCAGTATATTTCGGTGCAGTAAAACTTAACAAAACTTGCCTTTCTTGCAGTCACAACTTCCGCCGAGGCTGCCCCCCTCCTGGTTTGGGCAGGCTTCGGCGTTCGTCGTCACCGGAGTACTAGCTACTGCCGATCCCATTCTCATCACTCCACTTGTCATGTCTTGTCAATCATACACACCTGGTGCTCATTCCCCTAATTAGTATGTGTATAAGTGTTCCCTCTGTTCCCCTTGTCTTTGTGAGTGATTGTTTGTTGTGGGAGCGTGTAGCTCGGGTGAGCTACTATTCACTGTGTTTATGCCAAGGTGGATGTTTTCCCGTGTATAGTTTCGTTTGACGCTTTGGGCGTTTGATTTATGTAAACGGAATAAACTCTGGACTTCGGTATTTTACCTCCTGCTCCTGACTCCTTCATTCACACCTCGTCACACTTGCACGACTGTAAGTTGCTCAGGATAAGTGTCTGCTAAATGACCAAAGTGTAATGTCTGAGGCATCGGGGGTAGAGTTTGCATATTTGAGACCATTCCATTGGTTCTAAAGTGAAATCTCTTGCGAGATGAGTGAGGTACATGATCTGTAAAGTCTTTACCTACTCTCCACTCAAGTAGTTTCCTCATTCATTGAACAGGTGTTTTCACTGCAGTCATAAGAATGGAATGTAGACAAACAGGTGTCTTATGAGGCTGTGCATTTTCAAGAAAAAGAAAGGGAGGCAGAGAGAAAGAGGAAGTATCATACTTTATGAAAGAAAGAGTTAAGCAAACAAACAGTGATGTGCAGATGATCACTGACTTGCCTGAGATACAAATTGACAGACCTCACAGGATTGTCTTCATCTAAAAACTACAGTGCTTTCAGAAAGGATTCTTACCCCTTGACTTTTTCCACATTTTGTTGTGTTACAGCCTGAATTTTTTCTGACCAATCTACACAATACACCCATAATTTGTATTTCTATTTATTAAGGATCCCCATTAGCTGCTGCCTTCCTGGGGTCCAGCAACATTAAAACAGTTCTATACAATTTAATATATTACATTATATTACATTTCATAACACTTTTCACAACACATTAAGTGTGTGCCCTCAGGCCACTACTCTACTACCACATATCTACAATACACAATCCGTGTGTAGAGTGCGTGTCTTTTACATTTACATTTACGTCATTTAGCAGACGCTCTTATCCAGAGCGACTTACAAATAGGTGCATTCACCTTATAGCCAGTGGGATAACCACTTTACAATATTTTGGTTTTTGTTTGTTTATATATATATATATATATATATATATATTATTTAAAAAAATTTTGTTTTTTTGGGGGGGGGGGGGGGGGTTGGAGTAAAAGGGGGGGGGGGGGTAGAAGGATTACTTTATCCTATCCCAGGTATTCCTTAAAGAGGTGGGGTTTCAAATGTCTCCGGAAGGTGGTGAGTGACTCCGCTGTCCTGGCGTCGTGAGGGAGCTTGTTCCACCATTGGGGTGCCAGAGCAGCGAACAGTTTTGACTGGGCTGAGCGGGAACTATGCTTCCGCAGAGGTAGGGAAGCCAGCAGGCCAGAGGTGGATGAACGCAGTGCCCTCGTTTGGGTGTAGGGACTGATCAGAGCCTGAAGGTACGGAGGTGCCGTTCCCCTCACAGCTCCGTAGGCAAGCACCATGGTCTTGTAGCAGATGCGAGCTTCAACTGGAAGCCAGTGGAGTGTGCGGAGGAGCGGGGTGACGTGAGAGAACTTGGAAGGTTGAACACCAGACAGGCTGCGGCATTCTGGATGAGTTGTAGGGGTTTAATGGCACAGGCAGGGAGCCCAGCCAACAGCGAGTTGCAGTAATCCAGACGGGAGATGACAAGTGCCTGGATTAGGACCTGTGCCGCTTCCTGTGTAAGGCAGGGTCGTACTCTCCGAATGTTGTAGAGCATGAACCTACAGGATCGGGTCACCGCCTTGATGTTAGCGGAGAACGACAGGGTGTTGTCCAGGGTCACACCAAGGCTCTTCGCACTCTGGGAGGAGGACACAACGGAGTTGTCAACCGTGATGGCGAGATCATGGAACGGGCAGTCCTTCCCCGGGAGGAAGAGCAGCTCCGTCTTGCCGAGGTTCAGCTTGAGGTGGTGATCCGTCATCCATACTGATATGTCTGCCAGACATGCAGAGATGCGATTCGCCACCTGGTTATCAGAAGGGGGAAAGGAGAAGATTAGTTGTGTGTCGTCTGCGTAGCAATGATAGGAGAGGCCATGTGAGGATATGACAGAGTCAAGTGACTTGGTGTATAGCGAGAATAGGAGAGGGCCTAGAACTGAGCCCTGGGGGACACCAGTGGTGAGAGCACGTGGTGCGGAGACAGCTTCTCACCACGCCACTTGGTAGGAGCGACCGGTCAGGTAGGACGCAATCCAAGAGTGAGCCGCGCCGGAGATGCCCAGCTCGGAGAGGGTGGAGAGGAGGATCTGATGGTTCACAGTATCAAAGGCAGCAGACAGGTCTAGAAGGACAAGAGCAGAGGAGAGAGAGTTAGCTTTAGCAGTGCGGAGAGCCTCTGTGACACAGAGAAGAGCAGTCTCAGTTGAATGACCAGTCTTGAAACCTGACTGGTTTGGATCAAGAAGGTAATTCTGAGAGAGATAGCAAGAGAGTTGGCTAAAGACGGCACGCTCAATAGTTTTGGAGAGAAAAGAAAGAAGGGATACTGGTCTGTAGTTGTTGACATCAGAGGGATCGAGTGTTGGTTTTTTGAGAAGGGGTGCAACTCTCGCTCTCTTGAAGACGGAAGGGACATAGCCAGCGGTCAAGGATGAGTTGATCAGCGAGGTGTGAGGTAAGGGAGAAGGTCACCGGAGATGGTCTGGAAAAGAGCGGAGGGGATAGGGTCAAGCGGGCAGGTTGTTGGGCGGCCTGCCGTCACAAGTCGCAAGATTTTATCTGGAGAGAGAGGGGAGAAAGAAGTCAAAGCATATGGTAGGGCAGTGTGAGCAGGACCAGCAGTGTCATTTGACTTAACAAACGAGGATCGGATGTCGTCAACCTTCTTTTCAAAATGGTTGACGAAGTCATCCACAGAGAGGGAGGGGGGGGGGGGGGGGATTCAGCAGGGAGGAGAATGTGGCAAAGAGCTTCCTAGGGTTAGAGGCGGATGCTTGGAATTTAGAGTGGTAGAAAGTGGCCTTAGCAGCAGAAACAGATGAAGAAAATGTAGAGAGGAGGGAGTGAAAAGATGCCAGGTCTGCAGGGAGTCTAGTTTTCTTCCATTTCCGCTCAGCTGCCCGGAGCTCTGTTCTGTGAGCTCGCAATGAGTCATCAAGCCACGGAGCAGGAGGGGAGGACCGAGCCGGCCGGGAGGATAGGGGACATAGAGAGTCAAAGGATGCAGAAAGGGAGGAGAGGAGGGTTGAGGAGGCAGAATCAGGAGATTGGAGGGAGAAGGATTGAGCAGAGGGAAGAGATGATAGGATGGAAGAGGAGAGAGTAGCGGGAGAGAGAGAGCAAAGGTTGCGACGGCGCATTACCATCTGTGTAGGGGCAGAGTGAGTAGTGTTGGAGGAGAGGGAGAGAGAAAAGGATACAAAGTAGTGGTCGGAGACATGGAGGGGAGTTGCAGTGAGATTAGTAGAAGAGCAACATCTAGTAAAGATGAAGTCAAGCGTATTGCCTGCCTTGTGAGTAGGGGGGGACGGTGAGAGGGTGAGGTCAAAAGAGGAGAGGAGTGGAAAGAAGGAGGCAGAGAGAAATGAGTCAAATGTAGACGTAGGGAGGTTGAAATCCCCCAGAACTGTGAGGGGTGAGCCATCCTCAAGAAAGGAACTTGTCAAGCTCATTGATGAACTCTCCAAGGGAACCTGGAGGGCGATAGATGACAAGGATATTAAGCTTAAATGGGCTAGTGACTGTGACAG